TTCTTGTTAACTTTCAATTTATGTCTAGATTGCTGATATTAGTTCTTGTTAACTTTCAATTTATGTCTAGATTGCTGATATTAGTTCTTGTTAACTTTCAATTTATGTCTAGATTGCTGATATTAGTTCTTGTTAACTTTCAATTTATGTTTAGATTGCTGATATTAGTTCTTGTTAACTTTCAATTTATGTTTAGATTGCTGATATTAGTTCTTGTTAACTTTCAATTTATGTTTAGATTGCTGATATTAGTTCTTGTTAACTTTCAATTTATGTCTAGATTGCTGATATTAGTTCTTGTTAACTTTCAATTTATGTCTAGATTGCTGATATTAGTTCTTGTTAACTTTCAATTTATGTCTAGATTGCTGATATTAGTTCTTGTTAACTTTCAATTTATGTCTAGATTGCTGATATTAGTTCTTGTTAACTTTCAATTTATGTTTAGATTGCTGATATTAGTTCTTGTTAACTTTCAATTTATGTTTAGATTGCTGATATTAGTTCTTGTTAACTTTCAATTTATGTTTAGATTGCTGATATTAGTTCTTGTTAACTTTCAATTTATGTTTAGATTGCTGATATTAGTTCTTGTTAACTTTCAATTTATGTTTAGATTGCTGATATTAGTTCTTGTTAACTTTCAATTTATGTTTAGATTGCTGATATTAGTTCTTGTTAACTTTCAATTTATGTTTAGATTGCTGATATTAGTTCTTGTTAACTTTCAATTTATGTTTAGATTGCTGATATTAGTTCTTGTTAACTTTCAATTTATGTTTAGATTGCTGATATTAGTTCTTGTTAACTTTCAATTTATGTTTAGATTGCTGATATTAGTTCTTGTTAACTTTCAATTTATGTTTAGATTGCTGATATTAGTTCTTGTTAACTTTCAATTTATGTTTAGATTGCTAATATTAGTTCTTGTTAACTTTCAATTTATGTTTAGATTGCTGATATTAGTTCTTGTTAACTTTCAATTTATGTCTAGATTGCTGATATTAGTTCTTGTTAACTTTCAATTTATGTTTAGATTGCTGATATTAGTTCTTGTTAACTTTCAATTTATGTTTAGATTGCTGATATTAGTTCTTGTTAACTTTCAATTTATGTTTAGATTGCTGATATTAGTTCTTGTTAACTTTCAATTTATGTTTAGATTGCTGATATTAGTTCTTGTTAACTTTCAATTTATGTCTAGATTGCTGATATTAGTTCTTGTTAACTTTCAATTTATGTTTAGATTGCTGATATTAGTTCTTGTTAACTTTCAATTTATGTTTAGATTGCTGATATTAGTTCTTGTTAACTTTCAATTTATGTCTAGATTGCTGATATTAGTTCTTGTTAACTTTCAATTTATGTCTAGATTGCTGATATTAGTTCTTGTTAACTTTCAATTTATGTCTAGATTGCTGATATTAGTTCTTGTTAACTTTCAATTTATGTCTAGATTGCTGATATTAGTTCTTGTTAACTTTCAATTTATGTCTAGATTGCTGATATTAGTTCTTGTTAACTTTCAATTTATGTCTAGATTGCTGATATTAGTTCTTGTTAACTTTCAATTTATGTCTAGATTGCTGATATTAGTTCTTGTTAACTTTCAATTTATGTCTAGATTGCTGATATTAGTTCTTGTTAACTTTCAATTTATGTCTAGATTGCTGATATTAGTTCTTGTTAACTTTCAATTTATGTTTAGATTGCTGATATTAGTTCTTGTTAACTTTCAATTTATGTTTAGATTGCTGATATTAGTTCTTGTTAACTTTCAATTTATGTTTAGATTGCTGATATTAGTTCTTGTTAACTTTCAATTTATGTTTAGATTGCTGATATTAGTTCTTGTTAACTTTCAATTTATGTTTAGATTGCTGATATTAGTTCTTGTTAACTTTCAATTTATGTTTAGATTGCTGATATTAGTTCTTGTTAACTTTCAATTTATGTTTAGATTGCTGATATTAGTTCTTGTTAACTTTCAATTTATGTTTAGATTGCTGATATTAGTTCTTGTTAACTTTCAATTTATGTCTAGATTGCTGATATTAGTTCTTGTTAACTTTCAATTTATGTTTAGATTGCTGATATTAGTTCTTGTTAACTTTCAATTTATGTTTAGATTGCTGATATTAGTTCTTGTTAACTTTCAATTTATGTTTAGATTGCTGATATTAGTTCTTGTTAACTTTCAATTTATGTTTAGATTGCTGATATTAGTTCTTGTTAACTTTCAATTTATGTTTAGATTGCTGATATTAGTTCTTGTTAACTTTCAATTTATGTTTAGATTGCTGATATTAGTTCTTGTTAACTTTCAATTTATGTTTAGATTGCTGATATTAGTTCTTGTTAACTTTCAATTTATGTTTAGATTGCTGATATTAGTTCTTGTTAACTTTCAATTTATGTTTAGATTGCTGATATTAGTTCTTGTTAACTTTCAATTTATGTTTAGATTGCTGATATTAGTTCTTGTTAACTTTCAATTTATGTTTAGATTGCTGATATTAGTTCTTGTTAACTTTCAATTTATGTTTAGATTGCTGATATTAGTTCTTGTTAACTTTCAATTTATGTTTAGATTGCTAATATTAGTTCTTGTTAACTTTCAATTTATGTTTAGATTGCTGATATTAGTTCTTGTTAACTTTCAATTTATGTCTAGATTGCTGATATTAGTTCTTGTTAACTTTCAATTTATGTTTAGATTGCTGATATTAGTTCTTGTTAACTTTCAATTTATGTTTAGATTGCTGATATTAGTTCTTGTTAACTTTCAATTTATGTTTAGATTGCTGATATTAGTTCTTGTTAACTTTCAATTTATGTTTAGATTGCTGATATTAGTTCTTGTTAACTTTCAATTTATGTCTAGATTGCTGATATTAGTTCTTGTTAACTTTCAATTTATGTTTAGATTGCTGATATTAGTTCTTGTTAACTTTCAATTTATGTTTAGATTGCTGATATTAGTTCTTGTTAACTTTCAATTTATGTCTAGATTGCTGATATTAGTTCTTGTTAACTTTCAATTTATGTCTAGATTGCTGATATTAGTTCTTGTTAACTTTCAATTTATGTCTAGATTGCTGATATTAGTTCTTGTTAACTTTCAATTTATGTCTAGATTGCTGATATTAGTTCTTGTTAACTTTCAATTTATGTCTAGATTGCTGATATTAGTTCTTGTTAACTTTCAATTTATGTCTAGATTGCTGATATTAGTTCTTGTTAACTTTCAATTTATGTCTAGATTGCTGATATTAGTTCTTGTTAACTTTCAATTTATGTCTAGATTGCTGATATTAGTTCTTGTTAACTTTCAATTTATGTCTAGATTGCTGATATTAGTTCTTGTTAACTTTCAATTTATGTTTAGATTGCTGATATTAGTTCTTGTTAACTTTCAATTTATGTCTAGATTGCTGATATTAGTTCTTGTTAACTTTCAATTTATGTTTAGATTGCTGATATTAGTTCTTGTTAACTTTCAATTTATGTCTAGATTGCTGATATTAGTTCTTGTTAACTTTCAATTTATGTTTAAATTGCTGATATTAGTTCTTGTTAACTTTCAATTTTTGTCTAGATTGCTGATATTAGTTCTTGTTAACTTTCAATTTATGTTTAGATTGCTGATATTAGTTCTTGTTAACTTTCAATTTATGTCTAGATTGCTGATATTAGTTCTTGTTAACTTTCAATTTATGTTTAGATTGCTGATATTAGTTCTTGTTAACTTTCAATTTATGTCTAGATTGCTGATATTAGTTCTTGTTAACTTTCAATTTATGTCTAGATTGCTGATATTAGTTCTTGTTAACTTTCAATTTATGTCTAGATTGCTGATATTAGTTCTTGTTAACTTTCAATTTATGTCTAGATTGCTGATATTAGTTCTTGTTAACTTTCAATTTATGTCTAGATTGCTGATATTAGTTCTTGTTAACTTTCAATTTATGTCTAGATTGCTGATATTAGTTCTTGTTAACTTTCAATTTATGTTTAGATTGCTGATATTAGTTCTTGTTAACTTTCAATTTATGTCTAGATTGCTGATATTAGTTCTTGTTAACTTTCAATTTATGTTTAGATTGCTGATATTAGTTCTTGTTAACTTTCAATTTATGTCTAGATTGCTGATATTAGTTCTTGTTAACTTTCAATTTATGTTTAAATTGCTGATATTAGTTCTTGTTAACTTTCAATTTTTGTCTAGATTGCTGATATTAGTTCTTGTTAACTTTCAATTTATGTTTAGATTGCTGATATTAGTTCTTGTTAACTTTCAATTTATGTCTAGATTGCTGATATTAGTTCTTGTTAACTTTCAATTTATGTTTAGATTGCTGATATTAGTTCTTGTTAACTTTCAATTTATGTCTAGATTGCTGATATTAGTTCTTGTTAACTTTCAATTTATGTCTAGATTGCTGATATTAGTTCTTGTTAACTTTCAATTTATGTCTAGATTGCTGATATTAGTTCTTGTTAACTTTCAATTTATGTCTTTTCTTGTTTAAGATAAATCTTAATCTTAATCTAATAAATTCTGTCTCAAAAAAAATAAAGAATCTTAAATAAATCTTAAACAAGAACTAATATTAGCAATCTAGACATAAATTGAAAGTTAACATGACATCATTAAAAGACTTGGTATTGATGAAAAACTTTTTATTGCTTGTAAAATGTGTGTTACATTTGTATTTTCTATACAATCTTTATAGGTTATTGTATAATTATATTATTGTTCAGTCGTATAACTATATTATCCAGTTAAATAACAGTTAATACATTGGGATTATCATATAATAATAATTATTATTATATTAGTAAATAATCATTTAAATTTATGTATTGATATAATAAACTTGTATCTATATAATGGACTAATTAACTGAAAAATTCTTTTTTTGAATTTCACTTTTGAAATAATAATGATAAATAATAAAATAAAAAATTGTAGTAAAAAAGTTTTGAATTGTGTTTAGCTATTACTTGGTATTTCTGTGATTATACTAAGATATACACATAATCGTTCACGAGGATTCTCTCAATTTATTGTTTGGATGTTATTCACATCTTTGTACAGTTGTTGTGGATCAGCTGTTAATATGGCATTGAACTTGTATAGAGTATATTTAAGAAAAAAAACATGTTGGATTTTTTCAATCATAGTTTATTTGTAAGAAAATTTTTATTTTTTATTTATGATGATGATGATGATGATGATGATGATGATGATGATGATGATGATGATGATGATGATGATGATGATAATGATGATGATTTTTTAAAAAAAATATTTTACCAGTTTTGCAATTATAATAAATATAAAAAACACAAATCAGATGTTTAGCTACAAGCAATTGTTTATGGGTTATTATTTTTAAACTTTATTTACCTACCCATGGTCCCCAAAATCTTAGGGAGGTGAATGCAGGTGAAAAAAAATACTACCAGATTAAATTTGTTATTTTTTCTACTTCAATGTAAAAGTTGATTTGCAGGAATATTTATAATATTCAAAAACAATAATGTTACTGTTACTTAAATAGTGTTAAATACTGTTACTGTTTTTCTTAGCACAATTTTTAGTATGACGACTATGTTGGTCATATGCACTCCTAGTATTACCATTGGTATTGAAAGTTCACCTTCATTTTTGTTGTCAGCAAGTTTTAAAGTAATTTTTTAGTACACTTGGTTTTTTTATATAAGAGTATTTTTATTTATTTTTATTTATTTTTTATTTTTTTAACACATTTTTTTTGTTAAAACTTATTAGGGTAAATGGTCCAGTGGTCCCCACCCCTTTTTTAGTGGTCGCGGATTTGTGACCACTAGAAAAAGAGTGGTTTTCTACACGCGATTATAATATTTTAGAAAACGTGAACACGGCCATTTGCAAGTTTTATAATAATGCTGAAAAAGTTTCAAAAACAAAAAACTAACAAAATAAAAAGAGATTAAAATAGAAAAAATTAAAACAAATTAATAATTTAAATAATTTGTGTACTGTTTTTATTTTTGTTTCTTTAGAGTTACATTCAGCAACAAAATTAGATAAGGTGAAGCAAAAAAAAAAAAAAAACATTTTGAAGTCTACAATAAAAAGAATAACTTTCCTTTTCTTAATTTTTTTTTAAGAGGATAGCAAAAATTTAACTTGTAAATGTTATTAAAAAATCATGTCTGAATCGTAAACTATAATAAAAATTTATAAATTTATAATAGTGTACCATGCAAACTCCAGATACTATGATAAATATTTGTTATTATATAACTTTCAAATTTGCTTCTTATAAATTTTGCGAAAGTATATTCTTATTAAGTTTGTGTTTTATTTGATCTGATGAAAACTTTAAAAACAAGTTAATAAATTAAAAAATATATCTTTATTGATTTCTCCACTTTAAAATCGATTATTTTTAGAATAATGATGGCATCCTTTTTATTGTTATTGGTCTTATAACTCTCGCTGTTATTGTCTTTGCTTTTGTTAAAATTAACCAAAATTATGTTCAAGAATCTTATCAGCATCATCATGATTATTATCAACCTTTAGAAGAATCTTATCATCATGATTGTTATCAATCTATAGAAGAAAACAGGTTTATAAAAAAAATTTTTTTTAAATATTATGCATATTTTTGTGTCTGTTACACAAATTTACTGTTGCTAATGACAACTTGTAAATAAGAAAATTAGAAATCAATAGTAATAATAGTTTATAAACAATGATGATAATGAATTTTGAGTTATTGTTTTTAATATGTATTACTTTTATAAATGTAGTTCACTTGTCTAAATTTTAAAATGAAGGTATTAAAGTTTTATTTAATAATAAAACTTTATTATTTATATATTTCATGATAATATATTTTTAACAAAAGATGTTTAATCTGCAGGCGTTATTTTTTGATTTTTGTTATGAGGTAAAAATGGAACAAAGCAAAAGTTTATTCCATTTTTTTGGATATAAATTCAGTCTCAGTAATATTTTGCTTTGACAACTTGATCATTGCTTTTTAAATGTTTAAGAACATTTCAGATATGCAGCAATAAAACAAAGCAAAACTTGACAATAGAGCGTATTTAAAAAAAAAAACAAAAAAAAAATTAGAAAAGAAATTTTAACATTAAAAAGACTGAAAAAACTAAAATTTGTAAGTAAAACTATTTTTAATTACCTATATAATTATGTTTGAAATATAGCCTTCTTTATAACAGACTTTGACATTATGTGTTAATTTTTTTTTAACTGAAGACAGGTTTTCAAAGCTCCTATAAATATAATTTTTGTTTTGAAAAGGTGTTAATTATAATTAGCAATAATTATTAGTCGCTTTTTTCTAAGAGATACTTAGGGCGTCAGGAAAGTTTGTGTGACTTATTAAAATAACTCATGTATTTGAACAAATTTTATGTCATTATTATCATTTTTAAGAGCATTCATTTCTCTACATTTTGGTTACATTTTTGTTTATATTGCTTATATAATAAAAAAATTATTTCAATTATAGTAAAAGCACTTTAAAAAAACTTAATAAAATGAATAAATTTGAATATAGAGCATATATTAAAACTCGTGCTCTGCTTGGAATTCCATCAACTGAGATAACTAACTCAAAAGTTTATGGGGACCAAGCACCAAAATGTAGAACAGTTGCCAAATGGGCGGCTTTGTTCAATAATGGAAGAGAGTTTAGAAGATGAACCACCCTCTGGATGCCCAATTACTGTACATACATCTGCAAATATCGAGTTAGTTCGGCAAATAAATGAAGATGATCCTCATTCAACTTTTGACGATATTATAGATTAATCATCTATTACCTGATATACATATACATTATATACATTAGGAGAAATCATACATCACTCACTAGGGCTGAGAAAATTATCATCACATTGGATACCCCACTAATTAACAGAAAAAAATCGAAAGGAGAGGGTTAAAGATTGTCGTGAAAATTCAAAAAAGATAAATGGCATTTGTGTGATGTTATTACTGGTGATGAAACCTGGTTTACTTTGAGACAGATTAAACACAAGTCATCTAATGCCAGCTGGCTAGCCGAAGGTGAATATCCTAGAATAGTAGTATGACAGGCCCATTTTGAAACAAAAAACATGTATTTTATCTACTTTAAGACAACAGGCATTGTTCATATTGGTTATTTGGAAAAAAGTAATATTGTAACATCTAATTATTGAAAATTGCAGAAATAAACAAGCAAAAACCTACCTCAAGTATAAAAAACATGAAATTTCTTCATGACAATTCTAGACCTCATGTCACAAAAGCAGTGAAAATCCGGCTTGATCTAGGGAAGATCAAGCCAGATTCAATATAGTTCACCACCTACCTTACTCGCCAGACTTGCAGAATAACTTGCGGTAGTACCAAGTTAGCTTTAAAGCTGAATTTGCACTAACCTTACATATTTTAAAATAAAAGCCCTTACATATCTAAAGGTTAAAGATGAAAATGATGAAAATCATAAAACTTAAATCATATTTGAGCTTATAAATGTAACGGGAGTAGCTTCAGTTGTCTGTGATGTTTATTCAGCTGATGCAGTAACCAAGGCTTCTTATTATATTTGCAATAAGCCATTTGATTTCCATTAAAGGATTTTATTTGCAACAAGCCATTCAATTTACAATCAATAATGTTGTGATTATTAGTTGCCAAGTATTTAAATTTTGACATGTATAAATTTTCAAGATGATTTAGTTTTTTAAGTTTGTTATCAAATCTTGTGCAAAAAAAATAGAAATTGTGATTTACTGATAGATGGAATTTATGTTAAGGCTGCATTATTATATCAAAGTGAAAATATTTTTAGAAAAACGGTTAAATATCCAGTGAAATTAGCTACTACTGTACTTTTGTTTATGATCAAAATTGTTGATCTGCTGAACTTTTTAGTTAGAGTTTTACCATCAGATTTCCAACTAGAATAATACAAATTAATTCTAGACACCATAGAAAGTTCTAAATTTTATGGTAAACTAATTGCAATTATTACTGATGGAAATAAAGCTTTTTTGTAAATTAAAAACAGTAGATAGAAAACCTTTGTTATGTCAAAATGAGCTATTTTTATATTTATGTCCATTTATAGAGTCCAAAAGAAACATTCTGCTGACAGAAAAACTAGGTTAGTTTATAGAATAACAAATATCAAATTGAAGAAATTTAGTTTTCTTATATGTAACTTGAATAAAAACAAATAAAAATGTTATCCAGATTACTTGAAACATCAAAAAATCCTAAACCATAAGAATAGAAAAAAGTTTCGTAAAAAACAGTTGCTGCTCTAAATACTAAATACCTAAAATAAATGAAAAAAGTGTTACTGATTATTGTCACCAGTTAAACAAAGAAAGTGTCACCAATTTTTGTCACTGATTAAACAAGAAAGTGTCTCTGATTTTTGGTGATAATAGTAGAAATTTTTTGAGATAAACATAGAATTTTTTAGATATAATAAAAGGGTAAATAAGGTATATAAAATAATAAATAAGGTATTTTAGGTTGGTTTACTACTGACCTATTTAAACGAGTAAGGAAAAACTGTTGCAAGGATCAAGTGATGTTTAATTTATAACCACAAACATTTTATTCAAGAACTATATATTACTTCACAATCCCAAAAGTGATAAAAATCAAAAAATCCATTGCAATCAAAAGTAATCTTTACTGGTTCATTCTTTATCGATATATAAAATGTAGGTGATTGTACTATTGTAAATTTAAATATTTAAGTCTAAATTAATTAAACTTTATTTTTTGTTTTGTAAAATTAAAAGTTTTTGAGCAGTTTTATGCATTTCAAATAAAGAAAACAAAAATTTAAGATATTCACATTTCAAAAATAAAAAATTTCTTTTATGACAATATTGGAATTAGCTAAGTTTGTTATAAAAAGATAAACTTGTCATTACTTTTATTTATATTTTATTTATATTAAGATATAGCTCAATATATGTGCAACTTACTTATAACACAAGCAGCAATTTAGTTATACATTAGAATTTCATTGAAACATCTAAACATTTTGTGTTAATATTTTTATTTATGTTCTTTCAAAAAGATGTTGTGTTTTCAACTATATTAACTTTAATGATTCTTAAAAAAAAATTTTTTTGAAAGCTTTACTGTTGTTTATAGCCATCAATGTTTTTAAAATTATTCATAAATATTGTTTTAAAATGTTTAAATTATTTATATATAAAAAAAAAAACATTCTTTATTAGTAAAGAGCTTTATAAAAAAATTTAATAAAATTAAAAAAAAAAAAAATTAGATAATTTAAATAAAAAATTTTTACTTTATACAATCATTAAAATTTTCTTTATTTATACAATCATTAAAAGGAATTTGTTTCTTTATTTAAGAACACAATATAAAAACATTTAGAAAAGCTCTTGTGATGTTTCTCAAGTTACTTATTTCATCAGGTTTTTGAAATGTTCTCAAATATCTAAAAAGTTGTGGTCAAGTTGTTGCAATAAAGTATCGTGATCAAAAATAGCCTGTGATCCCATGCCTTTCTTGACCACAACTGAAATTATAGAAGAATTAGTATTGATTTTATTCAGCATAAATATTTTATTTGTATAGTTGTATAATATCCCTATAATTTATGTGGGGAAGGAGAGAGAGAGTTGCTAGGGATGGATGGGAAGGTGCAACAGATGTGCTGTACTAGTTATGTGCTATACAAAGATGTATTTTTCTTTATCTTATTAAAATGTTTTTCTTGTTTTTTAAGAAATTTTTTCTAATCAGAACAGATGCAAGAGTTTCAATTAGTGACAGCATTCAAACATTAATGTCAAACTGGTTTAGTTCAAGTTCTACTGATGTAAAATATGTTACTAATCATGTGATTTTGCTGCTTGGTATATCATTCATGATTGTTATTGTAAGTTTTTTTTTTAAATTATCAAATGATTGAAATATAGGATATCTAATAAAATAAAGGTTAACTAACTAGTTATGTTCAGTATTTTTGAATGTTTTTTATATTTGTTCCATTTTGCGTTCAGCATTGTTGAATGTTTCTAATGAATAAATCAAGAAAAGTTTAGGGGTTGATAATAAAAAATTTGGAACACAATCAAATTTCAAAACAATAAATGACATCCTTTAATATACATCATTAAATTATATCATATATCTAACAACCATAAGTATAAGTTTTTTGGATATGCTGAAAGTTACTTTCATTCTTTTCAAAAATACTTCATATGCTCAAAGATAATTTCAGCATTTATATGTTTTTTTTACTAAAACAGCCTCAAATTTATATAGCATACCTTATATTATATAGAAATTTTTTAATGTTTTTTTTTTTAGAATATTTGTGTATGTTTATGGAACATAGTTCGACCTACACAAGCTAAAGGAATTTTCTTAGGAGTTGAAATGCTTGCAGTAGTCTTAACATATGGCCAAGTTTGTTTGTTTTTTTAATTAGTTACTTAAAAAATTAAGTTATTTAAAAAAATTATCTAATTTAAAATTTAAATTAAAGTTATTGATGTTAAATTGATTAGAGCTATTTAATCAACTAGATATAAACTTAAAGGTTTTATTTATCCTTTCTGAGTAATTAATGGTAAATTAAAGCAACGCTATTAATTATTAAAAAAATGTGTCAAAATTCAATTTTATTTAAATTTCTTATAAAAAAATGTGTCAAATCAGTTTATTTTGACTCAGTAACTCTTAAATTACTTGTATAAGAATCCTGAAAGTTTGTACTTGCTTTGACCAATATAAATTACAAATAAATTTGAAAAAAAAAATACATTTCTAACCAGTATTTCAAGAGATATTTCAAATGGTAAATTCTTGCACACCTGATGCAGAAAAATGAGCTGAAAATCAGTAACAAAATATGTCAAATGGCAAATCGTTGGTCTATCTAAAGGTAAGACAAAAAGTCAATTAGAAATAGCAAGATGTGGTGTTTCACTACGCTGTAACAAATGCTGAAAAACTACAAATTTTCATGTAAAAGATTCACCGATAAATCAAAACTAATTATATCAAAGGGTAATCCTAAAGGGTAATCCTAAGGAAAGATCCTAAAATTAGCTACCACAAACTGTCAAATTAGTTTAGTAGTATAGCACAGTTAGGTGTCACAGCTAGATTGTTATGTTGCTGCCAAGAAAACTGCTTTTAAGTGTGACAAATAGGATTAAAAGATATAAGTGAGTATAGATGAGTATTAAGAGCAAAGTTAGTATAGATGACGTCTATTGCATAGCCTAAGGAAATTGTGCTTGTTAATATTTTCTAATAATTTAGTGGCACAACCTCCCTTCGTAAGATTGAAAATAATCACCAAATATCAGCACAAAAACCGTGCTGATCTTTGTGATTAGATTATTTTTGATGCAATCCTCTATTAGGATATTTTGAATGAAACTCATGGAGAGTTCTCACACTTTGCAAAAAGATAGTTGTGAGAGATACCAGCCTATAGTTGCTTTTTTTTTTTGATTGCTTCCTTTTTAAAAATTGGTGTGATATTTAACTTTTTTTCCATAATTCAGGTATTTGACTTTCAGCAAAAGACTTATGAAACACGAGTGTGAGTGGCACAGCAAAAGCAGAATAACAGTTTTTTAATACCCGGGAGCGCAATCCATTGTAACCATTAGATTGCGATTCGACCAGGTTTGCAATGGCTTGATTTAAAATTTTATTTTGATTATTAGATTTTGCCTTGACTTTTTTGACTACAGTAGAGCAATATTCTCAAATGTTGCTGGTTATTATTGTTGTTGCTGATCCAGCTAATCGGTTGTTGTTGTTGTTGTTGTTGCTGTTGCTGGTCCAGCTAATCGGTTGTTGTTGTTGCTGTTGCTGGTCCAGCTAATCGGTTGTTGTTGTTGCTGTTGCCTTTGTAGTTGGTTCGTCATGATGCTTGTTGTTCTGTAGTGGTAGAGCGCTTGCCTCATAGGCGAGAAGTTCCAAGTTTAATCCCCACCATGTCCCTGGTAGTACTGCGCTCAACATGTTTCCCCGCGTAGCAGCTTTGTTTGTCAAACTTCGTGTTTTGGAGTTATAGAGTTGAGAGAGGGTTGTAACCACAACCAAAGTAGCCTCCTCAACAGTAGTGGCCTTAGGCAGAAAAAAAAAATAAAAAATACAGTAAGAGATATGAAAAACAATGTTTTGAAACATTGGCATATAATTAGAAATGATCCTTATTTAGTGGAAATATTCTTAATAGAACCCACATCCACCTATTCCTATACAGCATTAAATAAAGATACTTTAATACATTTGACCAACAAATAATATATATGAAGTTTAAACTATTCATTAAAATTTTATAATAATTTTATATAAATATATTTTATAATTTATTGTAAGTTAATATGAAGTTTAAACTATTTAATTATCTAATTTTTAATTATTTGGTGTTAAAATAAATAACTAGAACAGTCTTTTTATTTTTATTAGGTCATCATCTTTTGCGTTTGTAACACATCCCTATCTATCTTTATATTTTTATATCTTATATAATGTTTTTATTTACATTTTATAATACATATATATATATATATATATATATATATATATATATATATATATATATATATATACATATATATATATATATATATATATATATATATATATATATATATATATATATATATATATATATATATATATATATATATATATCCTATAATCATGTTATGACTGTTTTATATATATTTACAATTGAATTATCTTGTTATTTTATTAAGAGTAGAGTGTTATAAATGGCTATTGAACTGTACAACTCACTGGAGCATGTTTCACAATTTTCTTAGGTTATGCAAAGCAAGGAAATTGCAAAGTTCTAATAAATAGTAAATTAGTATCTTTCACTGTGCACAAAGGTTTCATGCTTAAGTTAGCAGTTCTTTAGAAAGTTTTTCTTGTTCTGATATAATTCTATTATAGGGTAAGGCTTTGCTATAAACAATGCTTTTTTTAGATATGTGATTGGAGTTATGATGTAGAAGCTCATTGTATCTGTTGGCTTACTGTATAAAGTACTTTAAATTTGATCATTTCTGTCCATATATAGTGACAGATCCAAAAAATTAATTGAAGAAATAGTCTCATTACAAGTAAATTTAATAGTTAGATGGATGCCATTCATGAAATCACATATCCCTTGTGATTCTTCTGTAGACCCATAAAACAAGAAAAAAATTAACCTTTTGGTAGAACCTATTAGCAAATCGGAAAATGCTATAATGATTTCTAAAATTATTTTAATATAGGATAAACGCTGACATAATGATGATCTCTAATTAAATTAGAATCTATTTCATATGAAAGATGGCTGCTTCGATCCCTACTTGATGTGGAGTATTAGTATAGAGGTGATATCTGCTGTTGCAAAAAAAAAAATAGAAGAAATAAATTGATGCGATTAAAACAAATTATAGTTTAATAGAAATACTGCCACTGGTTGTATAAAATTTGTAATAAGTTTAGATAAATTGTCAGTTTTTATTTATTATTTTTATTTTTTTTAAATTTTTACAACATCATTGCTTCCAACAATGCTGCAAGCAACCGCTATAAGATTTAGAATTTACTGTAAGACAAAAGATCAAGATATTAGCGCAAGATAATGATTAACAGACAAAAAAAGATTGCAAATTAAATGAATCAGGAAAAGCAAGATAAAGGAAGGGAATTCCAAAGAACTGATGTTTAAGCATATAAACTAGACAAATTAGAGTTTTTAGAGCACTTAGGAATAGTCACAGAAAAAGAATTAGACTTAATCGAATGACGAGTAACACAAGAATGAATTTTAGTAGATGGCACAAGAGATGCTAGCTCTTTAGAGCAGTGCTCATTATAGTGTTTGTAAAAAAGAGAAAGAGAAGCAACCTTACGACGATGTGACAAAGGTTGAAGGTTGGCAGCAACAGCAGGTCCAACTATGTTTACAATGCGTTTTTGCACCTTGTCTAAAAGAGAAAGGGCATCATTAGAAGATCCGCCCCAGATATGGCAACCGTATTCCATACAAGGTCGGGTTTGAGATTTATAGAGATAGAGAATAGAATTCAGAGTCAATAGATAGTGTCGAGCTTGACAAAGAGATGCAACTTTAGCAGATGCTAATATTGCAACGGATTTGATATAAGGTTTCCAAGAAAGATCAGAAGTAAGAGTTAATCCTAGAAGATGAAGTGTAGATGACTCATCAAGTAAATTACCATTCATAAATATAGGAAGGTCTAAATTATTGCGAAAAAAATTGAGTTTTATCTGAATTATTGCTGAAAAAAATTGAGTTTTATCTAAATTAAAGTTCACCAGCCACTGTGAGCCCCATGCTGTAGCAGAAGTGAGATCCTTTTAAAGCTCAAATGCCCCCTGCAAGCAATCAGAGGGAGTTGGTTTCTTATCGTGACAAGAATAAATGGTAGTATCATCAGCAAACAATGCCACAGATGTGAGAGTCTCTAGAAGATCGTTGATGTAAATTAAAAAGAGTATAGGGCCAAGGATTGAACCTTGAGGAACCCCTGAGGTTACAGAATAAGAAGAAGAGTGCTGTCCATCAAGGACAATTTTTATACTACGATTGGAAAGAAAGGATTCAATAATCTTAAAGATGCTTCCAGATACACCGTAAAAAGAAAGCTTATGGAGAAGACCAGCATGCCAAACTTTATCAAACGCTTTAGAAATTTCAAGAGCAATGGCCTTAACCTCCCCACCTTTATCTGGTGCACAATAAAACCTATCGGTTATTACTGTTAGCAAATCAGCCATAGAACAAGAAGATTGAAATCCATATTGATGATCAGATAGTATGTTATTAGATTCAAGATTCAAGATTAAGTGTTTGTTAATTAAAGATTCAAAAACTTTGCTTATGATAGGAAGAAGACTAATGGGATGTTAGTTAAGCGAATCAGATGGCTCTCCAGAATTTTTGAAAATAGGGATAACAGATGTGTTTTCCAGCAGGCTGGAAAACAAGACTCTGATAAGCACTTGTTGAATAGTTTTGAAAGGATAGACGACAGCTACTTCTGAATAGAGAATACTTCTGCAAGACTATAACAGGTATGTTGTTGGGGCCACAAGCTGTAGAAGAGGTTAAGCAGGAAATCACTTTAGATACAGAAGCTGGAGTAATACGGATGTCGAGCAATAAATCAACCTGTTTGACGGCTATATCAGGTAGAACGCAACTAGTGGATTCAAGAGATGTTGGTGAAAAGTTCTTAACAAACAATTCAGCTTTGTCTTTAGGTGAGGTGACATAACCATACAATCTGAACCATACAAAAGATGTGGAATTACAGACTTGGCCTTATTATTGATCCTATTAAAGATTCTCCAGAAGTTACGAGAGCCTTATTTTTGTGATGAAATACAAGATTTCATGATCTGAGAATAGCGGGCTT